TTTCTTTTTCAGGTCTTTCATGGTCTTAAATTCTGCTCTTCTCTTTCGGAAAATGTTAGCCTTCGTGTTCCTCCCAGCAATCTTAGGGACTGCTCATTGTTTGGTGTTTGTCCCTCTAATAAACACTGTCCTTCTGCTCGGTGCGCCTATGCTGCCAACGCGGTGGGTAAAGATCTTGACATATTTGCAATTGAAACAGTTTCTGTCAGTAACACTGAACCTAAAAGTGTTAATAATATTTGTTATTGATACTCTTAATATTACTTGTGTGTATATGGTCTTATTTTATTTCTCTTTCCTGTTAATGTTAACTTTATTTTTTTTTGGCATTATTATTAATCTATTGTCGTTATATAGACTATCAAATTTTGTATTTGTTTTTTAATTATTTTTATGTAATTCTGTGTACTCATGCAAATTTTTAATTGGCATCTGTGCAGTTAAGTTGTACGTAATTAAACATGAATTGAATTAGGATGTTGAGCTGCCACACGAATAAATAAGAATTAACTGGGTTATTATTGTTGTTGTTGTTGTTGTTGTTGTCGTTATTAGTATTAGTATTATTATTATTATTATCATCATCATCATCTCTTGTCACAGGTTTATTTCCTGGTATTCCTTTTCTTGAACCAGTGATGCACCTCACCACTCAGGCTTCAAGCTTCGCACTGTAGCACTTTCCGTAGTATGTGTGATGTTCCCAGGATAGCTGTTTTTTGCAGTGAATCTATGGAGTGCTTACCAGGAATTAGTTCCAAATATTTTCTCAACCCTCTCGTGACTGTACAACCGGTGAAGATACAGCAGACTGAAAAGACTTAGTGCATTCTGTAGTGTAATGCAGAGTGTGTAGATTAGCAATAGTGCTATAGTTACTTGTAATTACTAGTTTTGAGGGTCCAATAAATCTGATTAAGAATCCAAAAGGTTTCTGTAGTCACGCATACATGTAACAGTATGTTATAGACAAGACACTTGAGGATCTGAGTATAATCAGAAGATGCTGCAGTTTGGGATATGACATGATGGCTGGTAAAAAACCCCATCATTTTGGATCAAGTAAACTGGCTCAAGAAGTAATGCTTCTGACTTATATTTGGGACACCAACTATCGTGAGAGGTTCTTATTAGTTTTCCTCAGTCTCTTTAGGTGACTGCCAGAACGTTCCATAAAATATGACACAGCTTCTTCCAAATCTCTTCCAAGTAATAATTCAGTAATCCACCATTCAGAGGAATTCACTGCCTGCAATACCGTTTTACCCTGAAGACTGAGGCGACAGCGTCCTTCAAAACTTTTTTGTCTTTATCAGACAACACAATATCATTTTGCAGAAGGCAGTAATCTCCATATTAATTACCATAACACATTATTGCATTACATTCCATGGATCCAAATTTAGTCAAAATAACGGTAGGATATGGAATATGTCATATAAATACAAAACATATGTACAGTTCCAATGGAGTTCTCACGCAGTGACTACACACAAGACTATTTAAAGATACATAAGTTATTTTCTAGAGTCTAGAGGTCTCCAAACTTTTCGAAACACAGGCTACATTAGGTAATTCAGCACTTTCAACGGGCTGGATAAAATGAGAAATTAATAACTCCAGGTATATGGGTTTTGCTGGTCACAGTAGCCGAGCGGTGTAAGGCATGTACTGTCTTCGCTCACTTGGAAACCGGTATCATGGGTTCGAATCCAACTCGGGGAATGAATGTATAGTTTATGTGTGTGCGTTTTTCTGTGTTTGTGTACAGGTAGAGGCCTTGCGATCACCCTTCAAAGGAGTCCTACCGATTGTGTAAGATCTAGAAAAACCGAAGTGAACGGAGAAGTTCATGGAGGTAGGCCACTGGGCTGTAGTGCCAAGGAAAAAAAAAATTAGATTTATTGAAAGCACAGAATTTCGTAAACTAAATACGAAGTACGTGAGAATAAGAAGAAAGCAGTCTTCTGGGATTTGGCGCCGTGTATATGTGGTGTTAACCGACGTTTCGGAGGAACGTATCGCCTCCATCTTCAGGGTAGAAGAAAGATATAAGAAATCTGCAAGCGAAGAGACCGTGAGAACCGGTAAAAGCCTCAAATCTTACATACGTGAGAATAAATTATCGTATATTAATGACTACAGAGAGTAGCAGCAAATTCTCATATTTTCATTATAAATTATAATAAAACAATTAATGTGAATGATGGAACTCTTTTTGCATTTTTAAAATCTGATTAGATTGAGGTGATGATGATCTGTTACAATTACACTTCACCACTGCAAGAAGTCTTGTGCACAAGATGGCTAGTAACGAACTGCTCGCGCTACCTACATTGCCACGAAGTGACACTGCCGATCGGGGCCGAACTAGTACGAAGAAATACCGCGCAGTATACGGTCCAGAATTAGTAAAATTGTGAATAATATTAATTTTAACATAATATGGAATATCAACATATTTTAAACACAATCTTAATTAATGAATTTGAAATCTATGAACAAGTATTTTTTTACCTGTACTCATTGGAAAATTAGTTCAGTTGGTGCATTTCTGCACAATTCTTTAGCGGACCAGATAAAATCACATCGCGGGCCGCATGTGGCCCGCGGGCCGTAGTTTGGAGACCCTTCTTCTAGCCAATAGGTATTCATCAATAGAGTAGAATGAGTATGTGTTTAACCTTTAAACGCCGAACTTCTGAAATGGTGGTAAGCTTGAGCTGGCCAGAGTTTATTTAAATGCCCCCTGCTGGTGCGCGTTTAAATGCCTGTTGCTACTCTACTTTTAAACATCCGTTCCTGTTATGGGGCTTAAACAATGTTAAGCATTGTGTTTAAAAATGCTGTATCTAACTCAATTTTTATGATAATCGATGATATTAACTTTGTTTGTATCAGCAAAGAACATAGTGTCGCATATTATAACAGATTATTTGAAAATTTTTGTACAATTAGTTATACTCTATTTTCAATTTTTCCTTTTAATTTTGGTGCGTACTGCAAAAATGGTTTCCCAAGTTCTTCACAGAGTTGTTCTGCATTATAAAATCCTACTTGTAACACTTGACAAATTTTAGCAGTCCCTGGTGTCATAAAACAGATGGAAGCAATAAAATCATTTGGTCTTCTGCTAGCACTGCTTACACTCTTCCGATTTTCGAATCTTTTGACTAAAGGACAGAAGAATGAAAGAATGGCTATTCAAGAGAAAGCTAGAGGGGTCCCTTCTTCAGTGCTAAGACCTTCTGTTATAGCTGCAAAAGATTATTGCCCTTCCTAGGGTCGTGAACAGACAGTTGCATCGTGGCTGAGATACAGAGTGCGATCTGTTTTCTGTTCATTCATAGTGAAATCGAATACTGTAGTTTCATTTCAGCCTATATACACATTAAGCAGATAACAACAAAAAAGCTATGTACATCGAATTTTACTATATATTTTTAACAAATTAATCTGCAGAATCAGCAATAAAATTACTGGCTCATGGATGAGTTTGGGCATAACTCATATGTATATTCCTTTTGCTGATGTTCACTTAGGTATCATTTTAATTCCTCTATTATGGATTTACTCAAGTCTGTCTGTTAAAAATAAATATTTAGGACTGTGCATGCGCTTCTACTAGTGACGTGTGCTCACGCTTCCACTAGCGGAGTTTAAATGCCCGACTGGCCAAAACGGGGTACTTGGCCACGACGACCATACTCATCACTGGCACTTCTGTCGTTAAAGTTTAAGTATCGTTTGAGTGCTATTGTAAATCGTGCTTTTTCATTCATAAGACTTTTGAGATCAGATTGCAGGTTACTAAAAATTTTGATCCCAGCATAATATGCACTTTTCTGAAAGCATGAGAGGTTAACAGTTGATTTACGAAGACAGTGTTTGTGTCTTGTGTTAACACTGTGTACATTCGCATTCGTCTGAAAAAGTACTTCGTTATTCGTAATAAAGATTATTAATGAATTTATATATTCACAAGGAAAAGTTAAAATCTGTAGTCTCTTTAAAAATCTATACAGGAATTACGGGATTTAACACCCATCATGATTCTAATAATTTTCTTTTGCAATGTAAATACCTTTTTACTGTCCAATGAATTACCCCAGAAAATTATTCCATTCTTCATTAAAAAGTGAAAGTAAGCAAACTAGATTGATTTGAGAGCATCAATGTTACTAATATGTAACATGAATCTAACTGCATGACATGATGTACTTAGCTTCAGAATTAACTGATCGATATAGTTTTTCCAGTTTAAATGATTATCAAATTTCAAGCCAAGGAATTTAGTGTTTACTCCCTCTTCTATATATTTAACATTATATCCAGTGTTTAATAGATATTGTGGTGAGATTTTTGTTATAAATTTTATTACATTTGTTTTTTTCTAGGTTCAGGGACTCTTGTCTGCAGGAAACCATTTTCTCACTTGCAAAAGAACCTTGTTTGATAACATGCAGAAATCATTTAATTTTTACCAGAAATTATAACACTAGTATCATCTACAAATATTAGAGGTATTGATGAGGTACTTACTGTAGGAGGGAGGTCGTTTATATAAATTATGAAAAGCAAAGGCCCCAAAATTGACCCCTGTGGAACTCCATGTTTTATTATTCCCCAGTTTGAGTAGGTACTGTGGATTGAATTTTATGATTTTATTTCAATCTTTTGTTTTCTGTCTGTTAGGTAGGATCTGAACCAACTTAACGTTGTTCCTTGAATGCCAAAAAAATGTAATTTAGTTAATAAAATTTCATGATTTACACAGAAGCCTTTGCCAAGTCACAGAATATTCCACCAACATGCATTTTTTTATTAATAGATTTCAACACACTGTCTGTTAACTTAAAGGCTGCATTTTCAACACTTAATCCAGTATACAGACATGCAGAATTAAATGTAATGGATCGTTAATTATTTTATTTAGTACCGAATGTGTTTCGAAGATGGCGCCAGTAAAAGGAAATGGTGGATCGATTATATTACTGCATGTATCGATGCCAAGCGCTATGCTAAATGGGGCTAGTAAGAGAATTCTGGCTTAATAGTATCGTGTGCTTATAAAGTGAGAAAATTCCACAAGTCCTTTAGTTCAGCAGAAATAAGCCAAATAGTATCAATGTGTTCTGGAAATGGTGTGTAAAGAAGACGTTGTGACATGGTTTAAAGAATTAACTAGCTCCAAACGTATTGATGTAATGTGTAGTTTGTTGAATATGTGCCTTCCATTTGAACTACGGTTCCTCGGCACATGTCTAGAGGACCTGGGGAAGCGAGATTTTCATGAGCTAAGGGATACAGAAATTCGAGCAAATAATTCTTCAGAGTTGTCTGATTTGCAGTGTATGAGTGATAAGCGAACTCAGAGAAAATTAGCGTTATTTTTATCCCTGTTGAAGTCCTGTAATCATGCATGTTCTAATGGTCTATACAAGATCCTAGCGAATTTTGATATCAGTGAAATTAATGCCACCAACAATTCATCGTCAGATGAAAATCCTTTGGAAGAACTGTTACTTTTGTATACACTTGCCTTAAATCATCCAGCTTTCTCATATGAACAAAAAGCAATTTTTGGTAATATATTGGTAAAACTTCAAGATGAAGAAAGTAAAATGTATTCGGCCAAACATCAAGTTGGCATCAGCTTACTATATGTCAAACCCCCAATACAGGTAAGATTTTTGTAACGAAAGGCGTGCAGTTCGTAAATAAGACACTCAGCATATGACTAGTACCTGTAATTAGGAAGTAGGGTAACAAGTTTGTAATTAGGTCACTAATTACGAATCAGAAAGTTACACGTGTATATGTTTTATATAGAAATAGGTGAAAGATTTTCATAATTTATTTTTTCTTGTGCATCATTCAGCCCCGTGCATCTGGTCCATCATCTGAAGAGCGCCAGCAGCAGGATATTGGTGTACTTGGCCATTGCCCTGGCATTACAATACCACCATGTCATTCAGCAGGTGAATATTTCAGTATTTGTACACATTTGATTATTTTATACATACCACGTATGGAAGCCAGTTTGTTGCTTTTAAATGTTAATACATTTGGTCATCGGCTTACGACCAGCTGCCCTTACGGCCACAAAAAAAAAATGGAAAATAAAGGATGATTAAAATGTAAAAGTTTTTAAAAATAAATTATAAAGATGATAAAAAGATTAGAAAGGTTAAAAAAATACTGTTAATATGACCAACATAGGACCAGATCAACTTACGACCTGTCAGTCAGAACGGAAGTCGGTCGTAAGTTGACGACCTAGTGTATTTATTGCTACATACAGTGAAATAGTGTTTGTTTTGTAATGAAATATGATGGTAGTCACTCAGAGCTGTTCATGGTGAGTAAATTTGGGACTGTGAACTTGTGAACGAGGACTGTGATGTCTGGAACAAGAAAAAATTATGAGGGGCATGGCATATGCAGCTGTATTTTTAAAGTTATTTATGTTAAGAGTGGAGAGGTTGAAGAAAATGGTTCCTTAATGCATGTGTGTTCTGTAGAAATGGATATGAATCAGTTCAGACTTGACTGATAGGTAAAATTTGCAAACAGAAGCTGTACTGCTCAAGTGTAATGTGCAACAGGTTCACTTCTCCTATTCTTATATATGGTATTCTTAATGTGTCAGTTAACATGACAGTTCTATAATAATCAAATCAGTACTACTATTAGCATTCGTTTATTGTGTGGAAGTACTGCTACATGTTTCAACCCTTATTACATGAATATGTCACTTGTTAGTGACAAGTTAGTCAGTTTACCAATATGGATCCAGATCAGTGATTTATAAATTGTTTTCATTTGGTTTGCATTATAATTTCAGTTGATAAATTTAAATTATGATGTTTTACATTTTGTTAAAATACAAGTGAAATTCCAATTAACATGAAACTTAAAATTAATTCTGATTATTTTCCATGGCATAATGGTGTATGTCATTATTATGGGGCTTTCTTGTGAGTCAGCGTTGTTCATTTATTTCTTGGTGTATCTGAAAGAAAATTATCAGCATGATATTCCATTTAAAATTGAAACTTTTATTGTCATTGAAATATAAAATTTTAAAATTGAAGTTCATCTGTTTACTTTTGTCACTGTGAAAAATGGTTTATGTTGTATAGTGGGGCCTTCCCAGGAGTCAGCGCTCTTTTTAATTTGTTAATGTATGATATTGTGTGGAGAAGATCAGTTGGACCGATTATGTGAGAAATGAAGAAGTGTTATTTAGAGTCAGTGAGCAGAGGAATATCCTACACGAAATAAGAAAACGGAAGGCTAATTGGATTGGTCATGTTTTACGCGGTAACTGCCTTCTAAAGGAAGTTATTGAAGGAAAGATAGAGGGGCGGATAGAAGTGACCAGAAGACGAGGAAGAAGACGTAAGAAGATGCTGGATGACCTTGGGGACAGAAGAGGATATTTTCATATGAAGGAGAAAGCTCTAGATCGCATCAAGTGGAGGAACTGTTTTGGAAGAGACTGTGAACCTGCCGTCTTGACAGATTACAGATGAATTAATGAATGATACTGTGTGGTGATCTTCTATATGATAATATATTCTATTACCACTTCATAATGGTTTGAGCAACTCTGGTGGAGCAATTTTGTATACTACATAGGAGTGCCCCATCATCCTGTTGTTCCCACAATGTAGTTCTCTCTGTAGTATCGATTTGTTTATTACAGAATTTTTGTGTTGAGTGATACATTAAGAATACCACATATAACACATAACAGGGTGCATAGAATAAAGATTATTCTTATTTTTCTTATAGTGGGAGATGCTAACAAAGGGAGAAGTTCAGTACTGTCTGGACTGAGTGTCCCCCCAGGTCTTGCCCTCGCTCCAGAACAGCTAACAGCAACAAGCTATGTACATGTTGCATTTCCCTCCCCTGGCCATCAGCCACTACCGTCTGTGCCGTGGCACAGTGGAGTGACTCCCTTGGTGATGTCTGGTGTGTGTGCAACTTTACCAGCAGAAGTACAAGCAACCAGTGAAGTATCACCATATCCATCATCTCCTCTTGTTAGCCGGCAGTCTTCACCATCTCAGTCGAGGTCCCCAAGCCGTACTGCTTCTCCTGTGAGAATGCAGCAGCAACAACCATCAGTGTCATCAGCAGCACAGACCCCTGTGCCAGCACCAGATCGGAGCCAGAACTTTTCAAAAAGTCTGGCTTCTAATCGTCGTAGTGATAGGAATTGCTCCCATCCCAATACTGCACCTCTTCGACTGAACTGTGTGGATACCAGTGTAGCCCCACCACCCACCCAGCAGCACAGGAATATATCCAGGAAGAGCAGCGTGGAGACGCAAGATTCGTTCAGAGAGACATTGGTCAAAGAGATGCCTAATTACCAGAACCTTCAGAAGTATCGAATAGATGAGGTGGGTTCACGTTTCTTGCCATTCTTTGGTATCCATTGTATGACCAGTTAAAGGCTGGTATTTTTAATTGTGCTTTGCTGTCTCCTCTTAGCTGCATCGCATGCGGGATGAGGAACTCAAGGATTTGGGTTTGCCGAACGGTGCCATAATGCAGCTACGAAGCATCATGACCAAGATTAGCAGTACTAATGGACTGTGTGGTGTTGACAAACGGGAACCAGTGCCCAATACAGGCAGGAGGAAACTGGATGGAGCAGCAGCATCTGAAGTGGAACAGGTAATGACTGGTTGTCACTTGCCAGGAGTGGGATAAGGCAGGTTATGTGGTACAAGATACTGAGAAGCCTGGTAAGTGGTTTGTCATGTGTCTGCACTAAGTTTACCTCATTGGTATTACCTGATGCAGCACATGTGCCCCCCACCCCCAGCATTATTGACAAGATGTTTTCTTTAGAGTGTGTGTGTATTGTGAAATTCCATAATCCAAATCCTCCCCTCACCCCAGTGTTTGCCATGTTTGTAAGTTGAAATGTGTTCGTTTTAGTCCTCAGTTGTAATAAAACACTTTCTTGACCATCAGAAATAACAGTGGTGCATGAAAATAGAATTAAAAAGATCTGCTTGCATTCAAAATTGATGGCCTTCTTTCAGAGTCCTTAATAAGGCCAGTACATTGCACACACGTGTGTGTGTGTGTGTGGGGGGGGGTAGCCAGTGCCAAACTGCATTACTGACTCATAGGTATGTGTGTATGTGAGATCTTAATTCCCCAACAAATGGCTGAATTTTTTGTTTTGTGTGTTATGTCTAAAATAATTGTAATATCCCAGATTTTATATAGTGATTAATTTAAAATTCATATCAAGAATGTTGTGGTCATGTTTTACATTTATAACTTCTGTAAGGTCTGCATTCCACATCTCAAACATCCGTAACATGGAGCGCGCTCTACATTTAAATGTTATAATTACTGTAGTCTGAAATAGCTCTCTTTGCATTCTCTTGTCAAAGCAACATATTTCTGAGTGAATTTTCAAGCAGTAGCTGAAGTATGTGTTGTTCTACTATGCTGTGTTAGTTTTGAAAGGCCACTATTCTGATATGCTCTCTGCTTCAGGTGAAATGAAAGTTGGACTGATTTGTGTTGATGTGGAAAGTAGATGTGTGCAGCAGGCCCAGATGTTGCGTTGCTTTGTCTCAGGGGCCAAGACATCGGGCAGGCGAATGCAGGGAGGTCGGCCCTGGTCGGAAACTCACATGACTTTAGCTGTTGTAAGTCGCACAGTGAGAAAGTAGAGTCCACACCAGGTACGGCAGCTATCTACCTTCCTGGTGGAGGGTTGCTGTTATGATGGTTCTGTCAGACATGGTGGAACCTAACCGACTTCTACATATGATAGAACTGGATGCGTGTGTACATAGGTTTGCATGGCTGGCTGCAGATCCAAAGGTTCCAGTGGTGTGAAGGTTCTTAATTTGAGTAATCGGTGGGCTCTGCTCATTTAATTCCGTGAACATTGATTCATTTTCCCACAGTTTCCTTGGTTTCTGTCTTCTGGGCAGTGGATGGGACTCTCATTTTTCGTGAAGAACATTGTTTCCCAGTTTGGGTCATTATGGTTAATAATGAACTGGTTCCTGTTATTTTCAGTTTCATGTACCAGTTACCCAAGGGCTGAGATCTGATTTGTTATGTTTACAGAATATTTCACAGCACCAAACCAAATTTAATTATCTCATTTGTGAATATTTAGGATCTAACTCTATTTCCCCGCTAGTGCACTGCAGTCGTTGTTGAAACTGAAGCTTTTGTAACATGAAATGTAGGATTTGCATCACCTCTTGATGGTTTGATCCGTGACTTATAACTCTCAAGTTCAGTAACTTGGTTCAGTATAAAACAACACGACATGGTGTATTGGCATTTTTTCTGTATCCACTTCAATAACTCATTAAAGTAGTTTGGACTATTAACCGGTTACAGGGATATAAACATCAGTTTGACATGTTGGCTCTGTGTCTGGCTGCCTGATATTGAAGCAAGTTATAATATGTAATCCCCATTTTCTGTACTGTAGGACTTTTCTTGAAGAAAGGGATGAAGTCTTGTCCAAACTCAGTGTTTGTTTTTCTGATGTCCCCCACCCCCCTGGGTACTGTAACTTTTTAGAGGTGTAATTTTTCCTTCCAGCAGCATGTTCTTCACATACTCTGGTTCAGTGATGAAATATTTGGGCTGCATTCATTCTTTTAAATTGCACCATAACAACAGGTTGTTTAATGCTGTATTGTGCTTCTGCATGATTTCAATTATATTTATGCACATGTTTGCAAAGTTTATTAATTTCTTTTAGTACATAACAGATATCTCTTAGAAGTTACATTGTGATAGATCGAGGTGTATCATGTACAGACTTCTGAAAACCAGTCTTGTGTAGATTAGGTAATATCTTTTGTTCACTTTCCATTATACTGTGCTGAAACAACATTAACAGCAGGAAGAGTAACCACTGAGATTTGTACATGGGCAGTTTAAGAACGAATCTCTTGGCTCTTTATATGTATATAATAAATCTTGCTCATGCAGGAGCAAAATGCAGTATATAAGGGTTCTCTACTTCCAGCACAGCCACATCATACCACACTGAAGCCACAGATGGTGGAAATGCTGGCGCTGGGGACTGCCTCCTTTCTACCCACTGTCATTTTCCCCTTCCAGCCTCCTATAGCCTAAGTGATCCAGACCAAAGCACTTGTCACTAGTAAACAGTATCATATGGTTATCAATACCAATAGTCATGTGAACAGTATAGCTAGATGACAGGAGGGGAATACAGGGAAGTGTAACAGCCTGAGGGAGATGTGGATGGGGTAGACCAGTGTTCCACAACCTTTTTCTACTCGCGGCACACCATGAAGTATCCATGACTCAGCATGGCACACCAAAATGTTATTCCCCTCAAAAACACATGATATCAGACAATTGATATAAATACGTAACGTGATCAACTTATTACTATAATATTATTTTATTATCATTAAACAGAAATTGACTGGGCTTCTCAACGTTAACTGAAATTAAGACCTCAAAGAGGGAGTGGCTCAAATACATCGATGAAGAAATGAGACTAGCGTTGTCAACGATTCCACCACGCATCAGTCGCCTGTGTCGCAGGCGCCAGTATCACATTGAAGGTATGAGTAGAATTACTGTATTTACTTTAATAGTAACAGAAGTGCATTTTCTACACTCTACAGTGAATTAAAGTTCATGCTTTTATTAACAATTAATGAACTTTAATTCACTGTAGAGTGTAGAAAATACACTTCTACTACAATTAAAGTAAATACAATAGTTCTACTCATAACTTCAATGTGATACTTGTGCCTGCGTAGTTGCACACAGGCGACTGATCCGTGGTGGAATCGTTGNCGCATCAGTCGCCTGTGTCGCAGGCGCCAGTATCACATTGAAGGTATGAGTAGAATTACTGTATTTACTTTAATAGTAACAGAAGTGCATTTTCTACACTCTACAGTGAATTAAAGTTCATGCTTTTATTAACAATTAATGAACTTTAATTCACTGTAGAGTGTAGAAAATACACTTCTACTACAATTAAAGTAAATACAATAGTTCTACTCATAACTTCAATGTGATACTTGTGCCTGCGTAGTTGCACACAGGCGACTGATCCGTGGTGGAATCGTTGACAACGCAAGTCTCATTTCTTCATCGATGGATTTGAGCCGCTCCCTCTTTGAGGACTTAATTTCAGTTAACGTCGAGAAGCCCAGTTCACACAAATACGTAATTTAAAATGGCCATAACACATTCACTGCCATCTCGGAGATAGCCGGGTATCCACTCCTTATTGCCAACCAAAACGTATCCAAAGGCAATGTTCTGTCTGCTTTTAAATCTGCGAGTTCCTCTTGTATATTAATCAGAAGATGTTCTGAATTCGCAACGAATGGATCACGAACCCAGTCAAAATTTTGTACACTCTCTCCAAAATACTTACTGAATTTCTGCTGCAGCATTTCTAAATGTTCTTTAATTGTGCCTATTACCACTTTATTGCCATCAGCAAATGGCCATACAGTCGGGAACATCTCAAATGACCCATCTGTAATTCTCTGTCTCCACAAATTCAGCTTATTTACAAATCCTTGTATCTTATCCATATTAGTTAGAATATTTTTGTTCCTACCTTGTATCTTTCTGTTCAGCTCATTCAAGTGTACGAAAATATCGAAAAGATATGCCAACTTATATACCCATTCATCGTCTGCAAATAAATCCACGTACTCATGCCCCTTGCACATACCTTCTCATTACAGTCAAATATTCACATTAACACTTTTCCTCGTGATAACCAAAATAGCGTTATAAAAGACAGGGAAACCGTTGCTAATCCCTGCAGTTTTAGGGAAAAGCACGTACACAGAACATGCAGCAAGTTTATCAAAGAAGCCGCGAAGATGCGAGAAAAATAAAAATAAATCAATAATGAAAGCTATGATATAACAACAACTGTGAGTAAATAATTTACGTTTAATTTCTTAGAGTACAACATTACTGTACATAAAAAATCACGGCATGCAATAAAGAATAAACAAGCATCATCATATTTAATCAGTGCAGTGGCTGAGAATAAAATACAAGCATATGAAACACGGTAACTGGGATAAAATAAAACTAATTAAATTCGACAATTAATTTCTTACAATAGGTATAAGTTCGCGTCACACCTTTCACCTTGTGACGGCACACCGGTTGCGGAACACTGGGGTAGACCATGGGTCTTCTTTCAGTGGCCTTGTTATGGTACATAATACATTCTACCTGTTACTAGACTCTGTGTAAAAAATGCATTCCTACAGTATCTGTTAATTTTTTTTGTACTTGAACTTCTAATGCAAGTAATACCATACTGTACCACCACACATATTCTAATGAACTTACATGATGCACTAGTTTTCAGCACTTTGATTTGTGTGTCTGCCCTCATCAGTCAGACGTGGTGGGACTCGGGGCTTCTGATCATACATAGTACAAGTTTTGCGTGTTTGTGTGCAGCCCCCTGAAAGGAAGACTCAAAGCGCTGGTCCCATCATGAGGAGGTACCCAAATGTACCTGTGGAGGGTGGTCCTGTTATGTATCCTCAGCCTCCACCACATCTGCTGACAACTCCACAGGGTGCTCCCTGTTACACGTGCTTTGCTGTGCCCGTCTCTTCGTCAGCAGCTCCTGCTCGTTACCACAGCCAGGCTCAGCCATTCTACTGCGTGAACCATCACCTGCAGACATTGCACTTGGATGGTGATGCAAGTCGCCAAGGTTCAAATAGTAGCAGTGCCTCAGACAGCTCTAGTGCAGGTCATTCTCCGCCTGACACCCCATCAATGCCTACAGCTCCTCACTGGGACAATAGACGTAAGTAACTGCAGAGTAATTGAAGCGATGACTAGCCTGGATATTTAAGAACAGGTAATCCAAAAATTCTTGAGATGTCCGCTATCATTGGTGCATTCACCCTTGGAAATCACTTACCCATTTAATTGGTACTTTGAAATAGTCTTTCAAACTTTCATTTTTTCTGCCTTTTTTCCCAATTTCCTGGAACTTCTCTGCACTTAAGTACACAGTGCACTACAGGTCAGTAATTAGCGATAAATATCTTCCAAAGAAAAGAAAGCAATCCTAGTTCAGTGGCAGTAATCTGATGTGAGAAGAAGTAAAATAATCCTTCTGTATATATGTATAAGAATGTTTTGTAGGTGTGAGATTTGTCATGGTCCTTACACAATTCCAGGTTTCCATAGTAACAGATGTTAACATGTTGTATGAACACAAACTGTGTAGTTGGTCACAAAACAAGCAAGTAGTATTTTGTGTCAGTGTATTGTGTCTATTCTGTGAGTATGCATCTTAATGTGATGTGCATATGTGAAGTATAGTATACTATATAAAGAAGGTGGTTTACATTTGACAATTTGTGCATGTTATTTTTGGGAGATGTTGGCCACAATGTATCATTCGATAACATGCAGGAATAAAGGAATACAGGTGAAAGCAGGAGATGTTACAGAATGGAAGCTTATGTAACAAATGATAGGACTCCCCATTGAATTTTCAGAGGGTGTTGCACTAGTAAGAAAGTTGTGGCAGAGTGAGAAGATGTACAGACTATAGAAGATCTGAAGAAAGCAGTCTTCTGGGATTTGGCACCGTGTATATGTGGTGTTAACCGACGTTTTGGAGGAACATATCACCTCCATCTTCAGTGTAGAAGGAAAAATATAAGAAATCCGCAAGCGAAGAGACCGTGATGCCAGATCCAGAAGGCTACACAGGCCATGACCGAGTATCATAACCCCCACCCCCCCAGCNGTATTTTTCCTTCTACCCTGAAGATGGAGGCGATGCATTCCTCCGAAACGTCGGTTAACACATATACACGGTGCCAAATCCCAGAAGACTGCTTTCTTCATAGTCACCGCCGTGAAAACCTCAAATCTTATATAGAAGATCTGTACTGAAGTAGATTTTAAAGGGTTCTGACAATAGTATATAACATTCAGAATTATTGGGTTATTACTTTGTTTATTGTCCAGTATTCTAACACACTAGAGAATACAGCATTTCAGGAACTGGATCTGTTTCTCTCCTGAGATGAGGAGGAGGAGACACCTACTCCGTTGAGTCCCTTAGAAAGAGCTAACCTCAATTCCTGTACAACCTATGTTAGTATAATAATAGCTGTATAAGTACCTGAGACCAGGCTCTGTCGGGGGGGGGGTTTAACAAGAAAAATGTTCAGAAAAAATGCATGCACGTGAAAACTAAGACATAAAGGGAGGTGAAAATTTTATGCAACAGACCAAGTCCATAAAGTTTTTGCCTACCCTCCTATCTTAGTTTCATGTCTGTGCATTCTTTGTCACAATTTTTATTACATGTTTTCCTGTTATTACCCTTTGACAGAGCCTGGTCTTGTGATATTTATGTAGGTGTATTTATACTGACATAGGTTGTCCAGTGATTGAGGTTAGCTCTTTCTGAGGGGGCCCAACAGAGTAGGTGTCTCCCCCTGACCTGAGGATGGAAACAGATGCAGTTTCCGAAACATGTTCTCTAGTTTGTCTAGAATACCAAGAAATGGAAAAAGTCCAAAAAAACTCAGTAATTCTGAGTGTTATATGCTCAAAGACAAAGCGTGCAAGAGACCCTAGAAGAGAAACTCGGTGCAATTGAAGGTGAAAACAGAAATGCTGAAGCGCAGTGGAACAATATAAAAGAATGCATGTTAGATACTATCAGTGATTTGGTTGGTAAAGTTGAGAAGATAGCAAGAAAACTATGGGTTACACAGGAGATGATGAGTAAAATGGAGGAGCGAAGGAAATGGAAGTATGTCAACAATGAAGAAGGCAGGAGGAAATACAGGAGACTGAGGAATGAATTGAAAAGAGCCACAGACAGGGCCAAAAAAGGAATATCTTGAGAATATATGTAATGAGATTATGGAATTTCAAAGAATAGGACGTTATGATTTGATGTACATGAAGACAGAAGAACTAGGATGGAAAGAGAATCATGGGATTCAAAATGTTGGCATCGAAGACTCCCAGGGGAATAGAATAGTAGATCAGAGGCAAGTGCTGAAAACTTGGGAAAAGTATATTACAGAACTATATGACCAACCTAATCGGCCAGAAACCTTAGAAGTTGAACCGGAAGAAGAAGTAGATACAGACGGGAAAGGACCATATATTTTACAAAGTGAGGTGGAAAAAGCTATCAAGGACATGAAGACTGGAAAGGCTCCAGGAGATGATGATGTACATGGAGATGTGCTTAAGTTACTGGGAGAAGGTGGTTTGAAAACACTGTCAAAACTAATAAGCAACATATATGAAACTGGGGAGTGGCCCAAGGACTTTACAGAAGTGACAATGATTGCCTTAAAGAAAAAGACAAAAGCTACAAAATGCAGCGACCATCGCACAGTAAGCCTTATTGCACATACAGCAAAGATAATAGCAAAGA